GTCGGCTAGCAGAAAAGAACTTGACAGAGTTGAAAATTTTAACTCAAAGTTTTAGGGCACAACAAAAATTACTCATGGCGCCGCCAGTACTGGTGAGCAACCGAGAGCTAGTTGACATGTTCTTAGGCTGTCTGACAGATTCCTTTGCTGATCAAGTTAAGGCCAGTTTGAATATTGAACAAACTAGAGACCGAAAACAGAAAGGCAACGAGGATGAGACCACTGCTAGAAGAACTGAAGATCCATACGATATCATAGACATCATAGACATGGCAGAAACCATCGCTGGACGTCTTACTGGAGACTCCCGAGACCACCCAAGCAACGCGAGAGCTGTATCGACTGGTAGATCAGTTCAAGCGCGCAAACGGGAAATTAAAATGGAGCACGATGAATTCAAAGAATTGCGAAGTATTACTGCGACGTTCCTTGATCAAATTAAAGTAGATCAAAAACAGAATTCAGAACTTCGTAATATGGTACAAAACACGCAGATCGAAATGAAGAAACTCTTAGAGACTTTAGTTCACCAACAGCTGAATATCAGTAACCCACAAAGTAAAGTGGCGAGTTATAAAATGACTTCAGATGGCTGTTGGTACTGTGATGAACCAGGCCATTTTACTTCAAATTGTCCACATAGAGAAGCACACGTAGCCCAGAAGAAAATCAAGCTTCTTGGGAACCAAATGTATTTTACACATAATAATACTGCAGTACCTAGAGGGAATGGCGAAAAATCCGTTCGACAAATTGTCGAGGAGGCTAGTAGGCAAAATTTGACTCTACAAAATAATATGTTTGCAGAGCCTGGAGAAGTCTTTAGTCAAGAAGCTGTTGTCCCAGGTATAATCAGGCTACCGGATAATAATAATGGAAATGAAATTTCCGTTTTTACAAACCAGATGCGAGATACAAGAGACGATGTGATTCTCAACATGAACAACCAAGTGTTAAAACTTACCGACATGCTTGCGAACCTTGTTACAAACCCCAATAAAACGAGGGACGTAGATGCGTCGCAGTTTGCCGTCACCCGTAGATCTCAAACCGAGACTCAGGGACAGTCGGGAAACTAAAGAGTCCGATGAAGGGGCCTTCCAGTAAGACTAAACCCAATGCTGGAGAACCAAAGGCACCAGAGGACGCACCAAAGAAAAGGGGTAGGAAAGTTGTGATTATCGAAGAATCAGAGGAAGAAGAAATTCCTCCTGAGAAACCAGAAAATCTCAATGGACCAAAGAAAACTTTGAAAAATAATCAAAAATTACTTGAAAGAAATGATGATGTTGAGGATCCTAATCCAAGGCACAAACAATTACCGTATCTCGGTATCCCAGACTTAAATAGTAACGCGAAAGAATCGGTTGACGAGTATGACCCAGTGCCTTTCTATGAGAAGCGCCCGATAGCATACAAGCATTTAGCTCCAATAGAAAATGTTAAAAATGAGGAACAAGCGTTGAACAGTCTGTTAAAAGCACCTGTTACTCTAAGCGCGGAAGTACTTATGAGCATTTCTCCTGGAGTAAGGCAAGAATTGTTTAAGGCCTTAGCTAAAAAGAAGGTACCAATTCAGACTGCTCACAATCGAAAAGTAACTATAGTCGAGGAGGTTGATAAAGACGCACCTCCAATTAAAAAGCAAGAAGATAATTTTAATTTCGGAAAAATCAATATAAATGACTTGGACATCAAAGCCACTTTTATGTGCACAACAGAGGATGATGGAGTAATACCAAAGGGTTCTATAGTCCTGACAGACCCTGTTGAGCAATATTTGCAAGGCCTAGGCTCATCGGAAACTCCGAAGGAGATTTACGTATCTAAAGAGTCCCATGCTTTAAAATCGATATATCCAGTAATTAATAAGTTTGGTCAAGTAGAGAGCTTGTTGGATGGTGGCTCACAAATTGTATCAATGGATGCGAAGGTTGCTAAGAAATTAGCAGTCCCTTGGGATCCTGATATAACCATTCAAATGCAAAGTGCGAATAGAACTGTGGAAAAGACCCTTGGTCTCGCCAAAAATGTTCCATTTAACTTCGGAGGAATTACGATTTACCTGCAAGTGCATGTAATACGGGACCCAGCCTATAAAGTACTATTGGGCAGGCCCTTTGACGTGTTAACAGGGAGCGTGGTCGTAAACTCTACAGACGGAGGACAGACGGTAACCATAACGGATCCAAACTCTGGCAGAAGAGCAATGTTACCCACTTTTGACAGAGGAAAACCACCAGTAATGATGAAAATGCACACTGAAGAGGATCTTCAATCGAAAACTGAGAAAGTTTTTCAACCCTCGATGATTTGATTGAAAAAGATCAAGGAGAAATCGCAATAGCTTTCAAAGAAGACGGTGCGGGAGGATATAAAGTCCTATTGTACGCCTTACCAATGGACGATCAATTCTCTGAAGAAGAGACTAGGAATTTGTATCTTACAAAATACTTAAAACATGAAAAAGAAAAGATGACAGACAAGGCAGCTAGTACGGTTCTGGTAAACTACTTAGAAAAATATTATTCTAAGCAAAGTCAAGAATCGGGCACTGCGTCTACAGTGGAAACCATGATGAATACGATATATAACCATGACGGTAAAGCGCAACCGAGCGAAGTGGAGGGTGAACATCCTGCAACAAGGGAGGTACTGGTAACTAAAAAGTATAAACCAGTCACACAGAAAATCCGACCCGTCTTTCAGGACCTGCCAGATAAATTTCGAATTATTCGGGATATAAAAGGCGATCCAATGGACACCTTGCCAAAGCTGAATAGAAACCCACCAGAATTCACACCCACAGGACGCTATACTGAAGAACAAAGAGAGCAATTTGACAAAGTTCATAACGGCGATTTCTTGTGGCCAGAGGAGCGCAAACTATTACATCATTTTATGATGGAAAACAACGAAGCCTTTGCTTGGGATGATAGTGAGAGGGGGAGCTTCAAAACAGAATACTTCCCACCCATAGACATTCCAATAATTCCACATACGCCATGGGTTTTGAAAAATATTCCAATACCTCCTGGACTTTATCAAAAAGTGTGCAGAATTATTAAGACCAAATTGGATGCTGGGGTATATGAACCCTCAAATTCTTCTTATAGGTCAAGATGGTTTTGTGTATTAAAGAAAGATGGAAAAAGTTTGAGGCTTGTACATAGTCTGGAACCTTTAAATGCAGTGACTATAGCACATTCAGGGTTACCACCTGCAACCGATGCACTTGCTACGCATTTCGCTGGTCGAGCTTGCGGAGGAATGTTTGATTTATACGTTGGATACGATGAAAGGCTCTTGGCAGAGACTTCCAGGGATCTGACTACATTTCAAACACCTTTTGGAGCTTTAAGACTTGTCACTCTACCCATGGGTTGGACAAATTCCATTCCAATTTTCCATGATGACGTTACGTATATTTTACAAGAAGAAATTCCTGAAGTAACTGTACCATATATTGATGATGTGCCTGTCAGAGGGCCTGCAACAAGGTACGAGTTGCCAGATGGAAAATACGAGACTATACCTGAAAATAGCGGTATAAGAAGGTTCATAATGGAACACTTCGAAAATGCTAACAGGGTAGTTCATAGGATGAAATATGCTGGAGGAACCTTTTCAGGATTTAAGTCGGTAATTTGTGCGGCTGAAATAACAGTAGTAGGCCACCTATGCACTTATGAAGGCAGAAAACCGGAAACTGAAAGAATGAAAGTTATAGATCTTTGGGGACCTTGTAAAGACCTACATGACATCAGGGCTTTTCTAGGAACTGTAGGGGTCTGCAGAATGTTTATTGAGAATTTTGCAAAGAAAGCAGAACCTCTCAACGATTTATGCAAAAAGGGGGCTCCTTTTGTATGGGGACTGGCACAAGAAGAGTCTATGGACAAATTGAAATCCTCACTTCACGAAAGTAAAGCGCTCGTGCCGTTGGATTACGAAAATAATCCTAACCCAGTGGTACTAGCTGTAGACACCTCTTGGAAAGCGGTTGGGTTCTACATATATCAGGATAACCATACGACTGGGCTTAGGCAGTATGCCAGGTTCGGTTCTATAACTTTGAATGATAGAGAAGCTCGATTTTCCCAACCAAAAAGAGAATTATTTGGTTTAATGTGATCTTTACAGGCTGCATCATACTGGCTCCTAGGATGTCGAAAACTAATTGTGGAAACAGACGCGAAATACCTGTCAGGTATGCTTCGAAACCCTGAAATGGGACCGAATGCAACCATCAACAGATGGATTGACGCATGTCTAATGTTCCATTTTAAGTTACAACATGTCCAAGGAAAGACCTTTGGCGCAGATGGATTATCGCGCAGAGACGCTCAACCAGGTGACAATGTGTATCCCCCTTCAGATGAACATCTCGACAAACCCGTTGGTGTCATTGAAGTGTTACCAGATCCAGATGGAGGGGAGCCCCCTTTGGATTTCGAAACCTTCAAAGATCAAATTGACTTGAGGGGGGGATATATCCAACAATTGGCTCTAGACATCTCAGATTTTAAGGATGAACTAGACAGGGAAATAGCAATGACACAGAAAATAGCTAAAGATGTGAAAACAAGAGTGGACAATGATCCAGATCATACAAAAAGCAGCCCAGAACAGAAGGAATTTCTTCGAACTTACATGATTTCGACTTTAACTTCACCAGGCCTGGAGGCCAGGTTTGACGAACTAGAAACAGAGCAACCTTACCCGGAAACTCATAGGTCATTCATTGGACAGTCACAGGATGAATTCCTTCTTATACTCAGAGAATGGCTGAAAAATCCTAAAAAGATCGAAGGATATTCTGATAAAAAGTACGGCGCTTTCGTAAGATTTGCAAAAAGTTTCTTCCTAGACAAAGAGGATAGATTATATTAGTGCTTGGAAGTTAGGTTAATTAACTGGAAAATAACCGAGACCAGACCGGACCTAACCGCAAAAAAACCGGACCGTGGTTAGTGGTTAGTCAATTCTGGAAATGAAATAACCGGTTATTTTGAGGTTAACTAACCGTTAAAAAACCGGTTATGACCGGTTACAACCGACCCTATTATACCCCTTCAAAACGCATCTAAAAGCATGAGAAACGCTAAAAATCTGACAGAGTTATGGTCAAATCTCTAAATTATTGGCTAAAATAGTAGGCTTTCAAGAATATTATTATAAAATTGTCAATTCTTCACCGAATTTAGCGTTCTTGGGCTTGTTTTAAAGCTACGACGCATGGCAATAATGTTTACTGCAAGGAATATGAAAAATATACGCGTTTTAATCGATTTTCTATTTTTTCGGTCCTAACCGGTTAGTAACTGCAACTAACCGGTTTTCATCGGTTATCTTCGGTCCAGTTAGGTTATTTTGCGTCTGGGAACGAACCCTAACCGGTCTCGGTCTCGGTTAGAGCCCCTGGGCACCCAATAACCTAACCTAACCGGACTTTCAAACACTAGATTATATCGTCGAAGCATTGAATCACGTCACAAGCTAGTGGTCGACAAGTCTCACCGAATGTACATGATGAGATCTGCACACGATGCTATGGGACATAGGGGAGCATATGCTACGCAGAATATGTTAACGGAGCGTTTTTGGTGGCCTGAAATCGAAAGAGATGTACATTGGTATGTGAAAACATGCCAGCGTTGTCAGGAACGTACCAAACATGTAGTGGAAATCCCACCCACCGTGACACATACACCATCTATTTTCTAACAACTACACGCTGATACCGTACACATGACTCCGAAATCTAATGGATGTAAATACATCGTCCATGGGAGGTGTGCACTGTCAAGCTGGGTTGAAGGAAAACCCCTAAAAAGTGAAACTGCAAGAACTGTCGGCTTATGGCTTTTTGAAGAAGTCATCTGCAGATGGGGTTGTCTAGAAGTAATAATAACTGACAATGGTTCGGTTTTCCTTGCTGCTGTAAAATGGCTCGAAGAAAAATTCGGGATAAAGGGTATTAGGATATCTCCGTATAATTCTAAGGCAAATGGCAGAATCGAAAGGCCCCATTGGGATATTATACAAATGCTCACAAAGTGCTGTGGACCCAAGAACCTTGCCAAGTGGTATTGGTTCTTTTGGCAAGTACTTTGGGCTGACAGGATCACGATTAGAAAAAGATTTGGTTGTTCGCCGTTCTTTATGGTAACAGGCGCGCATCCAATATTACCTCTCGACGTACAGGAGGCTACCTGGTTAGTAAAATTACCAGATCGTATGTTGTCCACTGTAGAATTGATTGGCTATAGAGCCAAAGCATTAGCAAAACACAGGCAGCATGTGGCGGAAATGCGCGAGAGGGTCACCTTAGAAAAAATGAAAAGAGTGGCAAAATATGAACTGAGCCACCACCATAAAATCAGTGGTCGAATGTATAAACCCGGAGACCTGGTGCTTTTCAGAAATTCACAGGTATCCTTGTCATTAAATAGTAAAATGCAACCAAGATACCTGGGACCTATGATTGTGGTACGACGAACAAAGGGAGGTTCATATATAGTTTGTGAACTAGACGGATCAGTCAATCACAATAAAATTGGAGCGTTCAGAGTCATTCCGTATTTCGCAAGAGAAAGGATCGACTTACCTGAGCACTTCAGTACACTTATTGATGCAAGCAATGAGGAACTGAATGAAATCGAAAACACAGGCGTTGAAGAAAGACCTAACGCAAGAGATTACTACTTTGAAGGAGTTAATCTTGATGGGTCTTCCGCAGATGAATCCGGGGACTAGTGTTTGAAAGTCCGGTTCGGTCCGGTTTTTTGATGCCCAGGGGCGTTAACCGTAACCGTAACCGGTCTGCATTTTCCCCAGAGGTCAAAAGACCAGACCGGACCGCAAAAAGACCACAGACCGCGGTTTTTTGCGGTCTATAGACCGGTTTCGGTCTGCATCGGTTTTAACCGGTTTATGACCGGTCTTTAGGCCAATATTTTAAAATTATGAATCGGTAAATTTATTAACATCTCTAATAGCTCCAAAACGAGCCCAAGAACGTTAAGTTCCGTTAGGAATTGGTGCTTCTATAAAATAAGTCTGGTACATCTATTATTCCCAAAAGTAATTTACATTTTAATTCATATCTCTCTCGTTTTTTTACCAAATCGTACGTTCTTGGGTGCGTTTTAAAGGGTATTTAAGGGGCTACAAAAGACCGGTCCAAACCGGTCAAGACCGGTTCACGTTAACCGGTTTTATTGCGGTCTTTACTTTTCAAAAATAAAAGACCGTAACCGCAGGTCCGGTCTTTTGCGGTCTTGGTCCGGTCTGGTTACGGTCTTTTTCCAGTCACGAGACCGGACTTCCAAACACTACCGGGGACTTAGAAGAAATCGAAGATTTAAGTGAAGAAGAGGCTCAGTAGACTTATGCTTTAAAATTGGCTAAAGTTTGATAAAACCTCCAGCAGTTTATAAACATAATGCGCAAGTGCCTTCTAGATTTTCCATGCGTAGTCAACTATACATGCGGGCTCTAGGTGTCCGTCTACGAAAAAAGTTCGGATAGTTCTACTACTCCTTAGTTACTTCACGCTCAGCAATCTGGGCAAGGGCAATTTCGTAATCAGCGACAAGTACATCGCGAAGACGAAGCTCCAAGTCGAGGCGCTGCATGCTGAGAAGAACGCGTTCACGAAGATCGACCTCTTGCTGCTTGAAATAAGCAAGGGTGGGATAAGCTGGCATGCGGTTGGTAACAGCAGCATGTGCGCGCGCTAAGATCTCCCTGTACAGAGGGTTGTCGATGAGCAAGGAGTTGGCAGACTCGTCTATAACAAAGGACGAGCGTGTTAGTTTACGATTTATGAAGATAAAAGATAAATACGAACTTTGACGAGACTGAAGATCTGCTAAACCACTAATAAAGGGCGGTTCAGTACGAGGACATTTGTCGCCGGCGCAACTGCCTTTGGCATGCTCGACGACGAGGGCCTTGTGAAATTCGCGACTGTTAGTGTCCATGCCTGGAACAGCGTCGTAGGGAATGCTGACCGTTTCGGCACGCTTGGATTTGGCTGGGGTCTGTTATGTCCGAATAAAATATGAAGTTAACAACGTGGCAGTGGACTCTCGCAATAATAGCAGCTTACCTTGGGACCAGAGGCAGCACGCTTCTTGCCTTTCTCTTTGGGAGAGGAAGCGGTGTCCTTGACTTCTTCGTCACCAAAGAGGTTGTCCACTGCCATCTGAGCAAGGCGGTACGCAATATTAAAATTGGGTTCTGCTCGACAGAAAATAAAATAAAAAATAACGCACAGTGTCAGCTGCAGTGATAGTGTTGGGGCCATCACACCCACCCATCATAACGTCGGTATCCGAGGGGCCGGGGACAATCTCGACCTTGTCGTCCTTGTCCTCGACGACAGCCTTGGACTTGACAAGCTTGCGGGGACGCTGTTTCAAAATGTATCCGCGCTGCGTTAATAAAATGAGAAAAGATGAACAAAATAAGTATAAACGTGCCTTGGCTTTAGCGGCGGCCATTACCTCTGCAATCTCAGCCTGAGCCTGAGCTTGAGCAGTAACAGGTGGTGGAGCGACCTGCGCAGCGGCGCGCGCGGCGAGAATGGCACGACAATATTCTTTGATAGTGTCGAGGTTGGCTGGGGGTGCGATGGTGTGAACTCCAGTGCTGCGGGTATTGTACTCGCCTCTAACAAGGAAAAGCACGTTGTGCATTGGCTGGTGCATAAGCAGACACGGATCCTTGGTGTCGATAAGCTGAACCTAGTCAAGTGCGCAGTATTAGCCTTTGTTCGAAGAAATAGAGAATACGAAGTTTATAACAGAAAAATTCGCGACTTACACAGTAATTAGTGGTTACGCCAAGAATGGTGGGAGCGGCAGCGCTGTTCAGTCCCTCTTTCATGTCCTGATAAGTTTTGAAGGCAGTGAGAGCGGACTCGCGAAGCTTGACAGTGGCGGGAAGAGCGTTTTGTGGGATAGACATAATGAGCGAGTGGTAAAATGAGAGTGCGTGGTAGAAAAGCAAAAAAACTGTTCTGTCCGAAAAATTTTCGCCACTGCCTGCTTTTATATGTGTGTCTGAGACCAAGGCATGCGCGTTCTGAAATTCCGCGTTGCAATTCACTTGAAGCATGAAAATTTGGAGTTGCGCGTTCCAGCGTGATCACGTCTAAAAATAGAATAAACTTTCCGAGCCTTGGATTTCCCACGCCACGTGACCTATGAACTTAGTCGTTTTGACTGAGGACAGTCAATATTTAGTGAGGGGGAGGGATCAAGGCTACCTTGATAGATAAAAAATTCGATTTCATGATTCACTAAAACCACCAAGGGGAAAAGAGTCATAAAAACGCGAACTAGAGACAATAAAACCCTAAGGCAGAATGAATTTGATAGAAAAATGCGAAATAAAGTCGAAAATTCACAAGTTCACACTCTAGAAAGCATGCAAAAAGGCTCTCACTTAGGAACAAATCTCAAAGTTCAAGAAAGAGAAAGTCAAGATTCTACTATAAGGACAGCAGAATCTAACTACAAAAGATAATGACACAAAAAGGTTGATATAGAAAGTCCAAAAACTAAGGTGTCCGAATGCATGCCAAGTAAAAGAGTCCGTAAAAACAAGCGCACCTACTCCTCGTCAACAAGCTCGTCGATAACCTCCTCCTCCTCCTCCTGAGAATGGGCAGAAGGTGGAAGACCAGGCGAAGCAACGGCGATAGAAGGAATAAGGGACAGCGAGCAGACACGGCATTGACGAGGTGTCAGAGATGAAGGCCCAGCAATGGGAGGAGAATCGTCTCGCTGAAAAAGCGAGACGAGTCTCTCCAAATCGGCCGTCGTTGAACCCGCAGGCACTGGGACCCCCTGAGTATCTACAAAGTCTTGAACGAAGCTGTACCACAAGCCGAACTCCTCGCGAGTCTCGAAAACAGTGCCTAGAAGAGTTCCAGGCTCGGCGGTGAGACACAGGTCCGCGATGGCGTTTGCGAACTCTCGAAGATTGGCATCACGACGATTGCGAATGGCCTCAAGGACCACGGATAGGGTGCGCATATGAAGCGCGTCTTCTTTGATGGACTCCATCAGTGCAGATATAGCTAGAAAAATAAGTGAAAAGTCATTAAAAAGACTATAAAATAAATAGAAAAAGAAAAAATCATACCTGAAGGCGCATGAATAGCCAACCGGTTACGGATGACATCCCTGACAGCCCCTCGGCATTCATCATTCAGATAGTATTCACACGAAGAAACATGCACTACATCGCAAGGACCGCAGGGAGTGCCCCACCCACGAAAGGTGCAGTTCTTGACAGCGGAATCCTTGCGCGCGGAGCACTGAAGGCAAGGTTCGGGCATCTAATAAAACAGGTATCAGTACCTATGAAAACTCAGACAAAAATGAGAGGAGGAGACATACGTGGATTTGTGTACCCTTAAGAACCGCGGGGAGCTCTTTAAGCCCAAATCTAGCGGTAGCACGTTCTAAAAAAAAAAAGAAAGTCAGCAGGGTAAACAAAAATACTAGTAAAAGAACGACTTACTAAATCGCTTCTTGTCGAACACGATGGGCTCTTGGAAGATAACGGGAGCTGGAAAAAACCCGAATTATAAAGTTAAAAAGCAAATTGAGAAAGAGAAAAAGCTTACACTTCTTACGAGGGCGACCGCAACGCTTGGGTTGAACAGAAGTTTCCTTCTGCTTGACCACCGGTGGCTTAACGGCAGTACGCTTGGTGGAACTACGAGTAGTAGGAGGAGTCCTCACCCGAGCCTTTCCCTTGTCAACTCGAGATGAACCTGCAACAAGCGGAGGCGTCTTGGCGCGAGCCTTGCCCTTGTCTGCACGCAAAGGCCTAGCGAGAGGCACAGAGTCCGACGAGCTTGAACGGGAACGGTTGGGATGTTGGATGGCCTCGTCGTCAGACGAGGGTTTCTCAATAATCTTGCGTCGTTTACCTGGCTAAGAAACCAAAAAAGTTAGTAAAAATGTCTAAGCAGAGGAAAATGAAGAAACTTACAGGGCCAATAGCCAGCTTCAAGGGTGTTGTAGACGGAGGATCGATGATCTCGACCACATCCGAATCTTCGTCCATGACCATGGCACGAGTACGCTTCGACCTTCGAACAGGGACAGGCGGCGTCGAGTCAGGCGAGGAAACTGGCAGGGACTCTGGGCCAGGGCTTGGTAGAAACAACGAATCGGATCCCGTAGGAGAAGGGGAGTGAACGACATGAGCTCGACCTCGGGGAGTAATGATCCCCGGAGGTGACGAAGACC